ATCAGGTACGTTCTAAATTCATTCGTTCAAACAATCAACAATCAAGAAATGATCACTGAACTCAATACCATTCTCTTGAAGTCTACATCAAAACAATTATCTACTGAACCAGCTAAAAGCTAAAAGTAAACTCTGAAATGATAATCGAATAAATTTCCGCACCTTATAATCAGGTCTCGAAGTGCAATAAAATCGTTGTGCTTTAAATTCTCCACCTCGACCACTCCCCACGGATATTCACGATAACGAATTCGACGCCCGTTCACTTCTTTCACCTTCACATGATTATAACCATTATGCGTAGCAACAACCCGATCTTGACGCAAATCGTTTCAAAGATAATGCACAAATGCCTTTTGCAAAAAATATCCCACACTCTGATAGTGTAATGAGATAAAATGTCACCTGATTGCTACCAATGACGGCAAACGGGACTCGCTCTCTAAGTGGATCGAACTGTTTCTTCTCATCTTCGTCCTCTATTTCAGGAAATTTATACAGTTTGATGTTGTTTTCGTTCAATTCCTTCGTTATCTAAATTGTATGCATATAGTCTGGCGAGTTCATTGAACTTGTTGAGCAGTTCAACATTTTCAGAATATTGATACTGGAACTAAACATAATGCCAATTTTTCGAATGATACAATTTTTCATTTTGTTTTGTCATTCATTTCCTGACAAAAGTGAAATCTATAGGTGGTAACCATTCCCCTCATCTCAAAGTAAATTCTTCATGATTGCCGAACCTGTGCCTTGAATCTAATCAACTCATCAGCAGTCATCGTATCAGCCTTCGCAATAACTGGAATCACGTTTACACGTTCATGCAAACGTTTCATGAATTCAATATCCAATTGCTTCAATCTGAAAGATATACAATACGATCAATTCAACGAAACTGATTCGACAGCTTCACGAACATTCCAAAAACATTCTTTACGATAAAGTTAGACAAGTAAAAATGAAGAACAGGAACACTACATTTCACCAGCGTCCAATACTCGCAACTGAAAGAATTCAGTGAAGGTTCATTCATCTAAATATGAAAGTATCAGCAAAATGAGCATTTAGATAATTCGTTGACCTACCCGTGTCCAGTCGGTGCTATGAAATAGAGACACAAGTGAACACGTTTGTCTGGAATGATTGCACATCGTTCGATTTTCGTCTCCTCTGAGAAATACTCCAAGTATTTTCGCTCCACAAAATCCACAACTGGCTCCCAACTTAAACACAGAGATTCTTCATTGCTCATGAAATGATTAGATTCACTACTCCAGAATGAAAAATCTCAGTGGACGTGAGTGCTTTCGTGATTTTCATAGAGCGGTTTACTAATATGGTGCAGAGAAACTCTAGCAATTTTAAGGCTGACAAACCATTTATTATTGTCAATAGCATCGCCAAATCCTGGACAATCCACCAAAGTCAGGTTCAACGCCACACCGTTCTCTACCAGCCGGACGGTTTTCTCTTCGATTTGAGTCGTTGGCGCAAGCGTTTTCTCCGGATGAGGTGCAGGATTGTTAACTTCGGTCGAGAATAGCGAGTTTATGAATGTCGACTTGCCCAAACCGGATTGTCCTGATTCGCAAAAGCTTTCGTCAAGTCAAAATAAGAAATAGGATATCATAACCACTAGTTCTGCATTACCATTCCAGACCGTTGTGAAATTCCCAAGCTTATCTATCAACCCATACGATTAGGAGGGAGGGATTAAAAACCAAGAAAACTTCACGAAGAAACCTACCAACAACCATGAGCGTGAACTCAAAACCGTTTTTGACAGCACGTCGGAAAACCTGATTTGGAAAATTTGCGAATCCCACATAACTGTGCGTATCCTTAGCACCAGCACCTCTTGATGACAAATTCGACAATTCAGCGCTTGTAGAGTCTAAAATAGTCCCTCTGCCATTCGAATATCATCGGAACAATCACTACGAAATACGTTTCTAATATATCTACGAAATTTTTTTTGTAAGAGATTTTGCAACAAATATTTCAGAGATTTGTTTACAACCTTAAGATTTTCCATCCGTTTGGCGATACAATTGCATAGTAAGAAACGAAAACGACCGTGCCAGCTGAGTGCAATTGCAACGCAACATTCTAAGTTTGTTTATTTTCGACGAATAAATTTGAGAACGTTAATCACACCGAATCCTTTTCGAGTCAGTCAAAAATAGTTTCAAAATGAAGCTGAAAAAAGTATGACGAGAAACAAAAAAACTAACTTGCTACAGCAACAGGACCATCCGAATTTCCTCGCATTATCAATTTACCAATCAGTGCTACGAACAGCTTTAAGACGTTTAATTTCAGGCGAAATTAGAAAATCAGATGACAAAGCCTGCGAGATAGTTAAGCAAAATTATCTAGAAAATGAAACTGCAAAGCAAATAAACGAACGCGGCGACGATGGATTTAAAACGGCAACATATTCGCTAAGCTGTCAGTTCGCCAATTATGAACGCAGTGACAGTTCAGTTCGCCAATTGACAAAACTCGCATTGCAATTTTTGAATGTGCTCAGAAAGGTGAATTTCTTACTCATTTAACGAGGGCGGGGGGGGGGGGGGGGGGGGGGGGGAAGGGGGATCAATTTATGTATCGTTTCGCAGTTCATTGTCAGATCTTGGATGATAAAACGCGATGAATACAGTGGACAGCAACGAAGATATTTTCGAGATGATTTCCTACTCAACTTGGAGCTCAAAAGTTCAAGAAATAATTGAAACTGTTAACCATTGCACATGGAAAACTCATAATCAAGATGTGTGTCGTCATGTAGGTGAGACTGAGTACTCCAGAAAAACGCGATGAACATTGATCGCAAATGTTAAGATACGAGAGCCAAGTGATTTGGTGTGATCAACGGTGATATTCACTTGAGTCACAATTAGGGTTTGCAAAATCCTGACGTTTTTGCAATCCTGGGATCGGAATTTGATCCTGACATCGATTTTTGATCTTGGGACTATCCCGAGATCGAACAATTTTGAAATATCGATGCGGGACATGTTTAAAAACATTTTTTCTAATCAATATGTTCATTATTAATCAGAAAGGAGTTAATTCAACAAATCATTGGACAAATCCAAGAAACCAAATTATTCAAATTCAAATTAATATTTCAAATAATGATGCTAATGCTGCAAGGGCATTAGCATCGTTATTTGAAATATTAAGCAAATAACAGTACACATGCATGTGAATATGAAATTCTTGATTCTCATGCACTTATTTGCAATGCTTTAAGTCCATTTTCTCTCAATATTAACGTCAGTTGAATTCTGCCGTTTCGGAAATTTCGATTTTTTACGAAGGAATGCATTGCATGAATTATATCATTCGAATTTTGAAAAAATTAAAAGTTCGGAGTTTATCTAAAAAGCGAAAAAAACATCCGCAATGGATTTTCATCGAACCATTGAGCACCTACATATTTAATAATTTCGATCAGAAATAATGGAAATTTACTTGATATTCAAGTTGGGATCCTTTTAAATGGAACAATTTTACTTACTTCGACAATGAATTCTCACTATGAGTGAACTCAGTGAAAATTTATGTACATTTCGATCGGATGAAAACGTTTCCAAATAGCGAAGTAAAAAGACTTGCAGTCTTTGGAACATGCAGTTGAATTAACAGATGGAATGTTGAAGCCGATCAAATCGCGTGGGAGAAAACGATTCAAAATTTCGTTGAACTTTGTTGCTCTTGCTTCACATTAGAAAATGTGATTATCTCTATTAGTCTACTTAGAAATGCATCCAGATGAGCGTGATATAAACCGATGAAGAATAGATTAATCAGTTGAATATTCAATGAAATGATACGTAAAAGTTCATCGAGCTGTCGTTGATCATGTCATTCGTCCAACTTGCGTCTATTTCCTCAGCCATTCATCATGATAGAGGGCAAGCAGCAAAGTTGACTGCATATGAATGAGATGGTAATGATTAAGGCTTGCTTCAAGATGGGCACACTATCAAAATTCACACAAATTGACCTGTTCTATCAAATCCCGAGATCCCGGGATTTCTGGAAACTTAA